GAGACACAGTAAAAGAATCCTTGGGAGGAATAGGCCTCCCACCTCTACCAGAATTCCTAGGTCCTCTTACTGATTCTGTTTCCTGGGAATGAACACAGTTGAGGTCTAAGCAGAGAAGACTGACAACAACATCAAAAGGATTATAGCATCTTCCCACGTCCCTTTCATTAAAACATCCTCTGTCTAGTGTTTTTTTCAGATACTTTAATCTATGTATCGAGATATTAATGTTAAATTCCCAAATTAGGCAGGTAAATATCAGTATTAATGTAGTTAATACTGATTTTCAATAATACTGAATTTCAAGTAGCATCAAAGTTCATCAGAATTTTGTCATTTGTTCTGATGTTTTTCATCAAACAACATTAGATCACCTCCCCAGTACCATCTCCTGTCATCTCCCATTCCCCCTCTGACCTTTTTACTCAGTAAGGGCCTTAGCTCAAATCACATCTTCTTCTTAAAGCCTTTATAACATGTGTGTTATGTATATATGTATGCATATATTTGTATATATATATATATATATATAATCTCCTAGAAACATAGTCAACAAGAAAATGCAGATAGTTACAGACAGATAAAATGAAGCTCAGATATGTTCCTAAGGTGAAAAAAAACCTACTAAATCTAAGAGGCAGTTATTTGAACCCAGGTCTGTCCTGATTCTAAGTGCAGTGTTCTTTTCATTGTACCATAAGGAGGGAAAGTTTCTTACAAGACGTAAATCCTTAGAGCCAGGTATTAAATAGAAACTAGAATAGATTCTCTTTGTAGCCTGCTCTTTGGGAGAAGGAGAAAATATATGCAAAGGTAACACAAAGAACTCTGCCTTTACATTAACATGAATAATTGGTGAACTTCCAAAAAAGGACAATGAACTTTCAACAAAAGACAATGATAACACGTCTTTGCTACCTTTTTTATTGGTTTAGCTTTCCTTATTACTGGTCACAGGATTAAAGACTTGGAAGAGCCTATATTAACTTGTGTGGGGATTAGATGAAATGTTCTTTTATTAGTTTTCCTCCTTCTTATTGGAAAGGTCATAAAGGGGCAGTGCTGAGTAATTCTTTGCCCTTCTTGATGAAACTTGAATGCAGGTTAGCTTAGTTCTCTTTTTTTTCTCCCTTCTGCTTCTATTTCAGTTCAACCAGGGGAAGAGCATCAGAGACACAGTGGACAGCACAATATTAACCTGGCTCTAGATAACAGAGCAGAAATAATGTGACAAAATATGATAACTTGGAGCGTTCAGCTAAGAGTCAAAAGAGCAAAGAGCCCAACCATCCAAAATTTAAATAGTTATGAGGATTGCTTGCAATTTTTTAAATAGTTTCATGTATATCACCTGAATTATATAGAATCATAGAATTTGTTGATCAGGAAGAAATCTTAGAGGCCATCTAGTTCAACTCCTTCATTTTACAGATGAGGAAACTAAGGCCCTGAGAAATAAAGTGACATCTCCAGAGTTGTACAGTAAATAGCAGAGCAAAATTTTGAAACCAAGCAGAGCTGAAAATAGCATTTTTAACTCATGAAAAGCAGTCCCAAAGATAGCCTCAAATCACCTTTATAAGACAAATGTCAGGTATTCTGAGCTTTTTGTTTTTAATAAGTAGAGAGAAGAGGGCAGCTAGGTTGTTGTTTGTTGTTTGTCCTTTGTTCTCAAAGGGGACCATGACATCAGGAAGGTGGTGTCATCAGGAGCCATCTAGGTCTGGTGGCAAGATATAATTCAGGGTGACCAGAGATGGTCCCGGATGTGGTAGGAGACCTTGGTTTTTTTAAGGTAAGGTCTTTCCCAGCTTTCAGTTCCACTGAGACAACACCCATTCAGTGACTGAGGATAGGTTAATATGAGGAAAAGAATGGTTTCTTACCTAGTTTAAAAAAAAATCAATCTGGGAGGAGAAGACTCTCTGAGCCATTGTTGACCAATCAATGACAGCCAGAGTGATTAGGTTTAAGGGGTGGTCCTTAAGAAAGAAATCTAGCTCGTAAACCCCAAGATAGATTGTGAGGTCTCCACCATCAAAATCTACATTCCTAAGGGCAGAGCACCTGCAGGTAAGGGTATGATACCCTATGTGGACAGAGGGAGAGGAAGGAAGAAAGGAGTGGAGAGGAGAAAAAACAAAGGGAGGGGAGGGAACAGGAAAAGAGGAGAGGGGAAGAGAAAAAAAATTAGGAAAGAAGGAGCTGTGTTTCCAACTGGAACTGGCCAGTTGGATCCCCAGTGGGGCAACTCAGACCAGATCATATAAATCTTTTGCCTTACTCTGGGCAGCTAGGTACCTGAAGTCTGGAAGACCTGAATTCAAATACCTGGATTCAAATCCAGCCCCAGACATTTAATAGTTATGTAACCCTGGGCAAGCCACTTAACCCTCTTTGTTTCAGTTTCCTCATGTGTAAAATAAGATGGAGACGGAAATGGAAAACCACTCCAGTATCTTTGCCAAGAAAACCCCCAATGGGGTCACGAAGAGTCAGATACAATGGAAACAACTGAACAAGGGAAGACGACCCTCCTCTTAAATCAAATGCTTCTCATTTGAGGAAGAAAATAGAGACTCTGAGCTCTTACAAGGAAAGCCTAGTGTTGGGGAGGTTTCCAGAGATGGAAGGAGCAGGGCCCACCCAAGACAGAGAGGAAGACCTAGTTGTTTCTTTTTTTAACTCCTTATTCTTAATAACTAAATTACTGTAAAAAAAAACAATTATTTTTGCTGAAGGAGTAAAAGTATTGACAAAGCCCACTAAATTTTCATGCTCTGAGGTAAAGCTCCAGTTGCTCCATTCTTGATTTCATGTCCAACATATACCTCCCTACAATGGCAAGACAAAATTAATGTGTTAAGATTGATTTTTTTAACTTATCTAGTCCAATAACAATAATAATAATAACTACTGTTTTAGACTTCAGTGATGGTTAGAGGGCAACAATAATATTTCAAAATAATTTAAATATGCTACAGTTAGAAACAAAACCGGGATGATTTAAAAAGTTTGGACTTAGATCTAGCTGAGAGGCAATAAAACTGTATCATCTGCAACATTATATTTGTCTTCTGTGTTCTCATTCATGCTATTGATACAAATATAGAAAAAGACAGGGCTGAGAATAGGAATGATGCATCATACCATTAGAGACCCCCTTCCTGGAATTAATTTATCAACACATTTTGGTTATGGCTGTTCAGCTAATAGCAATGCAGCTAATTGTTCTGTCATCCATCCCAAATTTCTCTGTCTTGTCTGAAAGGATATCATGGGAGATTTTGTCAAATCACCTTGGTCCACTCCAGATATATTATGCTTTTGGTGTTTTCCTGACCTAACAGTTTAGGAATGGTATCAAAAAGGAAATAAAGTTAATTTACCATAGCTCATTAGTAAAACCATGCTGACTCTTGGGGATTACTCCATTTTCCTAAATGATCATCACTCATCTGTTTTACAAAGAAATCTAGAGTTCATCTCTAGAGATTTCTGTCAAGCTTAATTTACATTTCTAGTTTATAGAATTCACTTTATGCTTCATATAAAATTGGACATTTACCCTTATACAATACACAAAGTATAGTGAAGTAGATTGTATGTCATTTGGGGTGTCAGCCTAATTTTTATACCCTTGGGTGATCATGAAGCTATGTCAAGGAGACATGAGCCAATCAGGACCTGGGCAAAGCTTTTTTCTCTCTAAGGTAAAACTAATCCTAGGTAAAGTTGAGAGTGGTGGGACAGGGCATCTATAGAAGGAAAGTGATATTATTTTCTTATTGCATATCCTTGCTATGTTAATGCAAAGAAACCTCCTTTTCTCAACTATTCATTGACCTGAGATTGCCTCATTTCATTCCAACACTGAATCTGAACTAACAAGGAGATCACCTTAGGTCCTGCCCTGAACAATAGGGGAAAAGCTTCATCTCTCTATGCTTCAGATTAGTTATCTGTAAAATAAGGGGACCAGTTTAGAGAATTTCTTAGATTTCCTCTGTTTCCAAATCAATAAGCTTATGAATTTTTAAATAGTTCTTCCCTTTGCTATGATTTCTATGGATAACATTTGAAAATAAACACATTTAAGTAGAGCCTATATCAAATTGCATGCCATCTTGGGGGGGAGGGGGAAGAGGGAGAGGAGGAGAAAATTTAAAACTCAAAACCTTATGGAAGTGAATGTTGAAAACTAAAATAAATAACTTTTTTATCTAAAAAAAAGGAAAATAAACATGTGAATCATCCTTCATGTACAGCAGTCTGCTAAAGCCTATGGGCACTTCAGGATAATTTTTTTTTGCTTAGTAATTGAAGGAAATGTTAAATTTCAGGTAGTAGGTAGTGAAAATAAGGATGATTTTTTTTTTTTGCTCAAACAAATTAATGGACAACCTGAAATCTATCCAGTGACAACTTTGGGGGTGGGGAGGTATCTGTGAAGCCTAGGTTAAAATTTTGTGCTGTACAGTTATGGAAAAAACCTTCTGGTCACAAACACATCCTTTCAGATAGCTTTACTCAAAGCTAACAATTAGTCAACAGGCTTTTATTAAATGTTTACTATGTTCTGAGCCCTCTGCTAGAATTTGTGAACACAATGCCAAAAAATTAATTTGGACTTCTTCTCAAGGAACTTATGTTCTTTAGGATAAGACAAACATGAACATACACATAAGGAAAATTACAAGAGATACAAAAGTGGTGAGATTGGCAGTAGCATCTGGGGAAGTCAGGAAATGACTAATATCAAAGATGACATTTTAGCTGTCTTGAAGGAAACTAGGGATTTTAAGAGGCAGAAGTGAGGAGGCAGTACATTCCGCACATGGACAAATGCCAATATAAAGGTGCAGAAAAAGGAGAAGTGTTTTGTGTGAGGAGCTATAAGAGGGCTGGGTTGACTTGTCTACAGGGTATATAAAAAGGGTTCTGTGTATGTAATAAAACTACCAAAAAATTGGGGCCAGATTTTGCAGAATTTTGACTACCAAATAGAGGAGTTTGTTGTTTGCTCTAGGGGCAACCAGGGAGCCTCTGAATTAATTGAATTCAAGAGAATGACATCATCAGACCTGGTCAGTAAGAAAATTACTTTGGTTTGTGAAAGATGGATTGAAGAGAGTTTTGAGGTGGGAAGAACAATAAAGAGGCCTCTACAATTATTCAAATAAGAGGTGACCAGAACCTGAACTTGTATGGTAGTGGTTGAGAAGAGAGAAAGGAATGAATGTGAGAAATTTTATGTAGATAGAAAAAATAATATTTGTCAATTGATATATGTGTCATTGGGGAGGGTTAGTGGACAAAACATGACATTAAAAAAAAACATGACATCAGCAATGTGAACCTGGATGACTGGAAAAATGGTGTTGTCCTGGATAATAGTAGGGAAGTTCAGAAGAGAGTAAGTCTTGTGGAAATGATAATGAGTTTTGTTTTAGCAATTTGAAGTTTAAATGCCTGTGGGGCATCAAGTCTGAAATGTCTAATAGGCAGTTGTTGAAATGGGAATGAATCATAAAAGGAGACTAAGGCAGAATATCTATGTATAATTTATCTATATCATCTACATCTGTCTATGTCATCTAAATCTATATCTGTATATCTATATCTATAGCACTCCTTGAATAATGTTGAAATGTGAATAGAAATAAAAATACTGATATTAATCTAGATGTAGAAACATATATTGATGCATATGTAGAAAAGAACATAATTGAAAATTACCTTCAAAGAGATGATAGTTAAACTCATTAGACAATGACTTTACAAAATGGAATTGCAGAGAAAAATTAAGAGAGCACGAGGAAAACAATTAGTATATAGCCACAGAAAGGAGTTGTGTTGTAAATAATAATCCTCCAAAAGAGATTGAGAAGGAGTGATCAGACAAGTGCAAAAGAATCAAGATAGAAAATTGCCCTGAAAACCTAGAAAGGCAAAAGCCTCCAGAAGGGTGCTCAACAGTGTCAAATGTTGCAGGGATGTCAAGAAAGAAGAAGATTGAGAAAAATACTTTACATACCAATACATTAAATGATGTTATTCTAAATATGAAGCACAGTGATTGTGTTTAAGTACATATTACATTTATTATGTTAAGTCAATATTTATTCAGAAGCAAAAGATTGGCAATAGGCTCTACGGAAGGGAGGTATTCCACAAAACATATAGAAACTAACCTCTGCCCCTGAGTAGTTTCCTATTTTGCATGACAACGTATTTTAAAATTTTCAGGACCATTTTTAAAAAAAAAATTGAGTTGTCTAGTAAAACTGTACATATTATGGTACTTCAGGGAAAAAAAGTCATGACTTTTTTTTTCCTAGCAAATAGTCTAAAAGAACAAGTTAATATTTACATTAAACTAGAATAGCAAGAAACAATCAAAGTAAAGTACATATTTTCTGTTTGTGATGTACTTTTTTTCTCACCTGACAAATCCAACAGTTTACACATCAAAACCTAGCAGTGGAGAAAGTAAAAGACATAGGTGGTTACATGCGTTTGGATTGGAACCATTAATCACAGGACTTCTGAAAAGATGGCTAAGAGTATATTTCTAAGTCGAGTTATCTTTCATCACTGAAAACAGAATAAAGTATAATGAAAACATCAAAATAGCAGGGTAAAGAAAACAAATCTTTGCCAAAAAAAAATTGAAGAAAAAATTAACAGAGATTAAAGCAAAAAGAGTCCATGATAAAATGAATAAATGCTATGGAGTTTAAGAAAAGAGAAATATCCAAAAGAAAGGACAATGCAACAATAATAAAAATGAATTGCCAGATATTTGAATTTAAATTCTTCACTGGTTAAAAAGCTAAATAAAATGAACAAAGGATGATCTAAGAAAGAAAATTAGATCTAATTTAAAATGGAAAAAAATATTGATCATTTAGAATCAATGTTGGAAAACTTTGATAAAGCATGAGAAAGTCTGAATTTCAGATATGGAACTCAGTAATTTAGAGATGAAACAATAAACATAAGAGCATAATCAAAGGATAGCAAAATTTTAAGAATATTTGTGATACTTACAAACAAAAGACTTGTAAAGACAATCTGAGAATCACTGATCTCCCAGAAAAAAAAAAAAAACTCAGTGAAATAGAATGACCAAATATTAATGTTCCCGGAAATACAGCAGGGATAATGCCAGTGGATGCATGATGCATTAAAAATGAGGTAAAAACTCACTGCTAACTAGTAACAATTCAGAAAATCCTCAAAGATACAAATGAAGACTAAATGTGGCTCTAACATGTGAGAAATTAATTAAATTAAAAATAGAAGAGTAAGACTAAAAAAACTGGGAAGAACTAATATCAGTTTTTAAGGAAAATATATGTCTCTGAAAACAATTTAATGAGACATAAGTGAAAGATAAAAATATGTGACAAATGAATTGAGCATTCAATTTAAATATTTAGAAAAGCAAGAATTTAATACTTGCACAAAAGCACAAAATCTGCCATTTTCAAAATGAAAGGAAGACAAACAAAATTTAAAGCAAAGGACTATCAAACTGATCAGCAAAATAAAGAGCAATTTTATTTAAGTGATTAATAAGCAACATGATAAATCTATAACTAATTTATCTTAAATATTAACAGGCAAGAAAAATTTCCAATAGCAAATATAAAAATAGGAATCCAGTATGAATGGTAAGAAGATAAAATATATGGACAGAAAATACCAAATCTAAATATATAGTAAAACTGACAATAACAGTTTGGAAATACATGTTTGAAATTATGCAGAATGAAGGAAAAGAATAAGCATTTATTAAGCACCTAATAAGTTCCAAGCATTGTACTCAGCTCTTTATAAATATCTCATTTGATGGTTCCAATATCCCTGGAAGTTAGGTGCTATTATTCTTTACATTTGAGAAAAATGAGGCAAATAATGCTTAAGTGACCTACCCAGGATCAAATGCAATGCCAATGTTGGTACCAAATGACCATTACTATATCTTACCTCTTTCCTTTACATTAAAGATTAGTAAACTACAACAATGGAAAGTGGCTTGTAATATTAGTAAGAATCACTTAATTAGATATCTTTGTTTATTGCTTTGTGTGTGGGGACTTAGGGGGTTTTCTGTGTGTTTGTTAGGGAGTGCCTGTTGTTTCAAAACAAAAAAGAATTAAAAAAGAAAAACAAACATTAACAAATTTTCAGGATAATATTTAACATGAGCTTTTTTGTTGTTCATGTATTTTCATTTTATACTAGTACATGATATTCAGTTCAATCCTGTACTACAATTCAAATATTTTTTTTTAACCAGAAAATTACTAAATGGACATTCAACATATCAATGAAGGACAGCAGAGGGCAAAACAAATTAAATAGAACAACACATATGCTTTTTGTTGGGAGCAAAAACTGTGGCAAAATTTGTATCAGTTATCATTTAAAAAGTTTTTCCCCTTTTTTCCTTCCTTCTACCTTCCACTTTCTTCTGATATCTTGACGTTTTTCTTCATTCTTTTTTGAGAAACTGTTTTTCTAAAGACTAAGTTCATATATTTCCTGCTTCTAACATTTTTCAATTTCTTTCCTCTAATAGTGCCTTTTTCATGCTTGCCTGTCAGTGACATTGTTCACAGTCCCTGAGCATCATTGAATTTGTTCATGCTTCCGAGGCTTCATCTACCATCCATAGCAATGGTCCTTGGCACTTACAGTCAGCAAAAGATGGTCTAAACCCTTTGCTCAAATGACACAAGGAGATGAAAGTCTATTCTCATTATCAGACCACAAAACCATTCAGCAATCCCAATGGATGTAAACTGTAAAGGCACTTTGGAGCTTCTACCAACATATTCCCCAGAGGTTCTTGTAGAAACACTAAAAAGCTGGGAGGGTGTGAGATCACCTCTCACATCCCTTTACCTTCCCTACTTCTCTTCCTACGAGATTCATCATTCTTATCTAGGAAGCAGGGAGGAAACTCATTTTCCATGCTTTTTCTGTGGCACAGTGTGCTCAGGGGAGTCATTTGTGGGAGTAAGGGCTCCAGCGTGCCTTTAAATTTTCAAGCCGGTGAAATCAGCAGACCCTGTGGAAGGCAGACTCCATTCAGTGGCACCTAAGGTTGCACAGTTGGCATAGTGCCACTTGCTTAACACATCAAGCATGACTTAGTGCAACATAATTTATTTCCTTTCATGTGTTATTCTTAGGTAATATGCTTCTCCAGTCTCCCATTCACTTTAATGGCACTATTATGTTTAATTGTTAGATTCTGCAGGTTCAGACTTCTGCTTCATTTCAAGGAAACAGGTTCGATGGTGGTTTTGTTCGGCTAGCATAAACATCTTAAGCTTAATTGCAAGTCATATATTTGGATACAGATCACTGCACTCCAAAAACATAAAGACCTAGTCCATTCAACCTGATCTATTAATAAAAACATGGAATCTTAGAGGAATTTTTTTTAAATTGAAACACAACATTATGCACTTATTTTTAGCTACACAATATTATGCCCATAGGAGGTACATCATTCTAATGACAATGGGTCGATAGAATATATCTTATATGTGTAGTAGATGTGCCTAAGCTTGCCCTCAAAGGGCAAACTGCTCTTTCCTTTTCTGTCTCCTTGACAAGGTATGAATTCCTTAGGCAATGAATCAGTTTTCCTCTGTCATGAATCCTTTTTGCCCCACTGATGAGGTCTTTCATCTAGTGCTGACTTAAATTAACAATATAGTCACACACATGAGCTATTCCCTTGAACATCTATAAAATTACTCTGGAAGAACTTAGAAGAGGTATGTATGACAAGGGAAAAAGAGATGACAAGTGGGAGTGAACTTGTGTATAGAAAAATTGGCACTAGCATCACATGAACACAGATGGAAATGAAGACACACACAAACACACACGCACACATATATATACACACCTGCCATGGCTACTTAAGAGAGCAGGATATGGATAAAGAATGAATATAGTGATAAAGACTGATAGAGAGTTAAGGATATGGAAGGACCAAAGCATTGATTCCCAGATAGAGACCTGAAAGGAAACATAGGTAAAAGCAGTAGAGTTCAATGAT